GAAGAGAAATGCACTGATCAGTTGATGCCCCATCAGCTCCCGGGCCACGGTTTGCTACGCCTGCTATTGTCCTCATGCCCCACCCCTGCTGTCCATGCGGGCCCCATTTGCTGCCCTGAGAGGGACAAGCACCTGCAGCTGGAACTGCTCTTGAAGTAATCCCAACTGCTCTCAAGTTTCCTCAGAAGAAGTCCTTCTTGAATTCGACACCTGTTGGCCACTAAGCCTATTAAGAGTCTATTCACCGAGGGCCAGATTTTACCTCTTGGTTCGGTCACGCGTCCACCAAGAGCCCCTCTTGTGGGCAGGATTTGAAATTTTGTTTGTTGTTCTCGCGACACGAATACACGTCCCTTCCTGGCTCTGCCTGGTGTTTTGTTCTACGAGTCCACTCAGGCCCAACCAGATTGCCTTTCCTTCCCAGACATGTCTGGCTCATTCCTTGCCCTGTTCAGAGGCCAAGAAACTTTACTGTTTTTGGTTGCCAGAGAGCATGTGTGCTTCCCAGGGAGGGAGAGAGAGAAAGCCCCATCTAATGGGACATGGTTATGACACGGTCCCTTCTCCTTTCTCCATCCTGTCAGGGATCTGGGGCACACACCTGCTGGGTGGGGATTCAAACCACATTTGGCCCTGTGGGCAGAGATCTGGGCTCCCTTAATGTCTAGACTAAGGGTCGGCTGGGGAACTTTATTTTAATTTTTCTGGGGACAGTGGGAAGTCAGCTGGAAAGAGAATGTCATAGCAATAAAACAGTAACTTACAAGTGACGTTATAAAAGCACGAGTAGCCCATGCTTCTCTGTCTCTCTCACTGGTGTGATGACTAAGGCCAGGTAATCAGTCCCTACTGTGATTTTCTTTTTTTTTTTTTTGGAGAGGTTTTTGCTATAGGGCGTGTGCTTGCCAGAAAGAGAGAGAGAGACAGAGAGACAGAAAGCCAGAAATCACCCCCCCAGGGAGGATGGCCATGCCACAATCCCTTCTCCTCCATTCTCCTCTCGGGATCTTGGACATGCACGCACATGCACCCAGCATGAGTTTAAGCCACTGAGTCCAAGACTCAAACCACAGTCGACTACACGGGAATCCAGCAATATAGCCATTATGCCAACTGCTGGTCCCCCCAGTGTGATTTTATAAAGAGCCATGAAGATTTTCTTCAGATTCTAGAACATTTTCTGTAGATATGCTAGTAATTTTTGCCTTGTTTATTAATGTAGTTGGCAGGGCCAGCACATGGTGTGGTGGTTAAGGTTCTGGACTCCCACATGGTCAACTCCAGTTCAAGTCCTGGAACTGGTGGCTTAAAAATCATGCCAGGCACATGTGTGCATGTGCGCAAAATCCCAGGAGAACGGAGGAGAAAAGGCTATGGTGTGGCCATCCTCCCCAGGGGGCGGCGGGTGTGGGGTGATTTCTCAATTTCTCACTTTCCCTTTCTCTGTCTCTCTTGTGAGTGCACACTGTGGCGAAAACCTAAATATTTATGTGTATGCACACACACACATAGTTGGTTTGGTAGGATTTTTTTTTTTCAGCCTGACATTTTTGTTGGGAATAATTCTTTTCAGATGATTTCCCTGGATGATTTTTAGAAATGTAAACAACAGAGAGATTTTTTTTTCTTAAATCAGCTACACGCGAGTTATTTTTCTGTTGACTCCAAATCCCAAAGTTCTGGCTGGAGATGGGACAGACACTAGGAAGAAGATCTAGCTGGAAGTCAGGAAGCAGGGCCAGTTTGTCACTCCTTGCCTTCATGACAGACAGCAGGTATTTTCTGGAAAGTGGGAAGGAGAAACTAAGAGAGAAGTTAGATTTGGGTTAAAATGGTCACTCTCTCTCCATCCAGAAGAATGCCACTTCTTGACTTTGCTTTAGCGGGGCTCAAAGACGTGGCAGGATGTGTGATGTGGGAGCTGAGGAGCCAGCCCACTGCATCCATCTTCCCCTGAGCAATCAGGCCAGCTTAGAAGTCAGCGGGGCTGGGAACCAGCAGTTAGCGCAATGGCTATGTCCCTGGACTCCCACGTAGTCGACCGCGATTCGCGTCCCGGACCCAGTGGCTTAAAACTCACGCCGGGCACGTGTGGGCACGTGTGCATGCGTCGCACGCCCAGGATCCCAAGAGGAGAATGGAGAAGGGAGAAGGGATTGCGGCATGACCATCCCCTTCTTGCTTTCTGTCTCTCTCTGTCTGGCGAGGGCACGCGCCCTATAGCGAAAATCTCTCTCAAAAAAAGAAGTCAGTGGGGCTGGCCTCACAGCACACCTGAGTTCCTGGGTCCCCACGCTGCCGAGACACGCACCTACTGTGGGAGAACCTGAGTTCCGGGGTCCCCACGCCGCCGAGACGTGCACCTACTGTGGGAACACCTGAGTTCCAGGGTCGCCACGCCGCCGAGACCTGGTCCAAGAGGTTGGAATTGAAGGGGTGACCCGCCTACTGCTCACTTCACAGCACAGTAAGGGCTCCCCTCTCTTGCTCTTTCTCTCAACTCCACAGCCCTGGCCTGGGGACAAAATGTAAGGTGACGCTAGGCTACATACTGCCTATTTTTGTGAAGTAAGTTTCCAGGGCTGGGACTACGCTAAGAAGAAAGGCAGAGGAGTGTGAGTTCAGGAGTGAATCCTGCATTTAAATTTTTGGTATTTTGCCCATTATTAATTTTTAGCATTCATTTTAACTTTTAAAAAGATTTCATTTAATTTATTATTATTATTTCTTTCATTATTGGGGCCAGCAGGTGAAGGTGCTGGGCGCCCACATGGCCGACCACCGTTTCCAGTCCTGGACCTGGCAGCTTACTTTCTCTCTCTCTGTGCCCTATAGGAAATTAAGACATAATAATAAAGATAATTCTTTTCAAAAAGAATTATTTTATTTAATCTTATTCGTCATCATTATTTTTAAAATTTGACCAGTGGAAATAGAGACAGAGAGGGAGAGTGAGAGTGAGAAAGCAAGCTGCCGGGTTCAGAACTCGCGATAAGCCATGTTGGAGTCCAGCACCCCAAACACCGCGCCACCTGCCGGCCTTTCATTATGACTTTTTAGAAATAGTGCACTAAATGGGACCAGCAGTTAGTGTAATGGATATGTCGCTGGACTCCTATGTAGTCAACTGTGGTTCAAGCTCGCGACCTGGTGACTTAAACTCACGCCAGGCGCATATGCGTGCGTGCCCAAGATCCCCAGAGGAGAATGGAGGGGAAGGGATTGCGGTGTGGCCATCCCCCCTGGGGGGGGTGATCTCTCGCTTTCTGTCTGTGTGTCTGGCGAGCGCACTGCACCCTGTAGCAAAAACCTCTCCAAAAAAATAATAAAATTAAAAAATAGTACACTAAAATATGTATCTCCCTTATTGAGATTTGGGTTTATTTTTATTTTTTACTTGTGAACCCACGCATTTTGCAGCTAAGGCGAGTAAAGATACCAGTAAAGGGACCAGCAGTTAGCGTAATGGCTATGTCGCTGGACTCCCACGTAGTTGACCGCGGTTAGAGTCCTGGACCCGGTGGCTTAAACTCACGCCGGGCGCGTGTGCGTGCGTGCCCAAGATCCCGAGAGGAGAATGGAGAAGGG